AGTGTCATCTGCAGACTTACTGAGGGAGTACAAGAGACCTGAGGGTAAATTAAGATCATTACCTCCAGTGTGAAACAGTTTAGATTTTGAACTGTAAATGTATGGTTAGAAATGTTTCCCCTAAAAGTGTGTAGAGGGGCTTTTAATAGAACATAGCCTTGTTCTGTGTTTTCTCCCTAAACCTGACATAGTTGTCCATCCATGCAAGTGAACTGTCTGTTTTCAGAGGAATATGTTAATTCTGAAATCTAAGTAAAGTAGCTTAAAATATATTATTAAAAAACTCACTGCTGATCATTTTGTCAGAAACACTAATCTGTAATGGCAATTTGGAATTTTAATGAGCTTCAGGGAAAAATGATCTATGATAACTTTAGAGGTTACTCTGAAATCTTTATGAAGGGTATGTTGGCAGCTGTATTAAGATTTAAAGAAGCTTTTCTCTTGAGGACAATATGCGCTTCTTCAGTCAGGAATTAAATACAGAATTACGTTTCTGAAAGTTGTAAACTACTCTCCTGAACTAGAAATATTTATAGTAACCTCTAATTTCACCAAGCAAAGAAATTTAAAGCTTGCATTGAAAATGGATTCACGCACGTAATGGATACTTGACTTTCAAAAGACATTGAAGTTCATGATGCCTAATATTTTAACTGATTGTTCTTGGAAAGTAAATTATTAAAAAAAACCAAAACCACACAACCAAAAAACAACAAAACAAAAGAAAAAACAACAACAAAACACAAACATTTTTGTGAAGAAGTCAAATGAGGAAAGCCAGTAGACTGCTTATAAAAAGCTGAACAATCATTTGTAGCTAGAGCATAGCTTAAGCACTTTACTGGCAGCCTCAGTTAAGGGGTTTCTTTACAGTTGTCTTCTGAATCTTGAAGAAAAGCTTTGTGCTGTTTTGGTTGGTTGGTTGCTTTTTGCTTTGCAGTGTCTGCAGATACTCTGTTTCTAAAATGCTGGGAACAGTACTTGCCATTTTGCAGACCTTGATCAGCTCTTTTGTTATACACTGTGATTCTCCTGCCACCTGGATAGTTGGAGTGCCATAGCTTGGCCTCTGACAAATACAAATTGTCCACTTAGAACTGAATTGCAACAGGTGAAAAAAAAAAAAAGTGAGCTAACTTGAGAAAGCTTTGTTGATCACACTGTCCCCATTGCAATTAGACCACAGTTTCCAACTAATTTTTTCTGTTTCCTTTGCAGGACTTTATCTCAGTCAGATCCAAATTCTGATATTTATATGAAAAACTATATACTCTTCTGTTTTTGCCAGTTATCTACTTCTTGGTAGAACTTTGAGTGAAAACTTCTGCATTTGTCTGATACAGTGACTAGATCATAATTTTCTTCTTGTTTTTGTTAGTCAAACTTTTATTCCATTGAATTAGTATGTAATTACTGTAATGGCCCATAAAATGTATTTCTCAAAGGATGACACAGGCTCCAAGTTCATACATTGTATTGTATTTTGTGAAAACAAACAAACAAACCCCCATCCAACCAACCAAAAATCCCAGCAAAAAGCCCTTCACTCTTGCCTGATTTCTGTGGACCTGAAGACCAGGTCTTCTTTCAGAACAGCTCATTACCTCCAGTCCAAAACAGGTTTTTTTGGCCTCGAGTAAGGCAAGGAGGAGATGGAGGTGAGATGTGACTTAGAGGTTGGAGAGAAACAGCAAGCGATGGAGGTGTAAGAATGTGAAATGTGACTCAGAAGTGGGAGAGGAGCAGCAGATAACTTGGCACAGATTTGGTACAGGCAGAAAGAGGAAAGTAGCATAGAGCATAAACTTATTATGAATATTCAGGTTGGTTTTTTGGGTCTATCCATAATAAAGATAAATTTATCTCTTTAAAGGGATGACATTTAGTTTTTTAAAAATGAAGTAGTTGATTTTATGGAATTTAGTATTTTTTTTTCTACCCAGAAACTTTTTACTTGAGAAATATGAGTATCTAACCTTGATAACTTACTACTTCGTCTTTTTCTGATTAATTCCTCTTCTTTTGCTATTTCAGTCCCTAGCAGTACTGCTTCATCCTTATCACCCAAAAAGAGCAGAGTAGGGGTTAACTATTTTTCCCCATCATCTTCTGTGGAAGAGATAAACTAATACACTGCCTGATTTCTCTTGTTTTGCCCTTAGACGTAACTGTCTGGTTTGATTCAATAGACTTATGTTTACTGCTCACTTTCTATATGGCTCACAGAAATAACCCGAGTAGGTGTATAATAATGTTAATTGCTTTCATATCTTTATATACAGTGAGTGGTGGTCTGTCTTCCTTTTTTGGTCCGTCTTTATTTGCTGCAGAATAATTATGCTACCTCCATCTATATACTCATTTAAATTGATTTTGGGCTTGAACTGTATTAGTTCTTAGTCATTTTGTTTTGCTGCTTGCTCCTTTTGTATTTAGAGCAAATGCTTGTTGAGATCAATAAAATAAACATAATTAAAAATCTCTTATACTTCCTACAGATATGTGAGCTTGAAGGAAACTACATCTTAAGTATTCGTAGATATTATTTACATGCCAAAGTAACTTGAGTTTTGAGTTCTTGAAATACTAGTTTATTTCAAATAGTATTAGGTGTTTAATCTAGAAAACATAAAAAAGTGGTATTATGCTTGCCTGTCTGTTAATATTAATATATTTATTGATACTGTATTGATTTTTATGCTATGTATATAGTTTTTCATATCCTAGAATATTAGATCTTGTAACTTGAATAACGGAAGCCTTTTTTTTTTTCCCCGCAGTACCAATACTGGCTTGCGGTGGTGATGACTGCAAAATTTATTTGTTTATACAGCAGAATGACCAGGTAATTACAATTTGGGGGACTTTACAAATTTTAGAGGTGTTTGAAGGAAATGTTAGTATTGTCCTGTTATTTTTCACAAGAATTTAGTGTGGAAGAGTGATTAGAATCTAAACTTCTGCATCTTTCTCTAACTGGTAGCTCTGTCCTGTTAATTGTGACTCTTGGGAACCTCTTCCTTTAGTGAATGTCCTAATAAAGATTGTATGAACCCCAAGGAAGAATGTAAGTTCATAGTCTGAGGGAGGATGAGGCATCTTCAGTTAGCTGATAAAGGCTATCTTTTGGTAAACTCATGAATTTTAACAGTTGAAATGTATTTATTCATTAAAACTGCTTGGTTTTTGAAATTGATTGGGCAGGCTTCAATTCCTTTAAGGCTCTCTACCCAGAGATCCCTTACTGTGTTAAGCAGTAGAGAGAAAATGATCTCTTTGCTTTCCTGAGCTCTTGAAAGAGGGTATTGATTTATAAAAGTACCCAGGGAAAAAATCTTTCAGAAACCATTTTATGTCTTCCTGCTTGAGATATTACAGGCCTATGGAGGCGAAGTAAGTAAACCAAGAGATCAAAATAGAGCTTTAAAACAAAACATCTATGTTGAGCTGGGTTTATGTAAGAAGATTTTGCTGTGCATGTCTGAGTATGTTTCTCCCTAATAACTTGGCCTAATTGAAAGGTGGAATAAGAGACTCAATATAATTCTGCAAGACTAACAGCCGGATAGAGGAGGGATATCATGTGTGGTGCCTGGTGGAGAAGAACTGAGAAGATTTGGACTTCTGTTGCCTTATGTGGCAGTTGTCAAATTTGCCAAACAACACTACCGGCCTGGTCCTGAAGCATGTGTGGGCAGAGTTAACTGTGCAGAGTGTGCTGGGCATGTCCACAGACATCCAGGCTTCATTAGTTCTGCTCTCTACACAACAGCTTTGTTCTTTGCCTAGAAGAAAAGAGACGAGACTGCTGCTACAGAAAAATGTTCAGAGATTAGTGAAGTGGCATGGGAAAGCCTGTGAAGTAGATGGCTTGGACAATGAGTTTTTGTAAGATTCGGCTGTTAGTACTGAAACTTCCAATAATCTTATGTATCCAGTAAGGACCAAGGGGAAAACTGAAAGAGAGAAGAGAGAGCTGAGACTATAGAAACAAAATATGCAAAAATCAGAAGAATGACATCTCAAAATACATGCAAATATAACCTAGGCAACAATAAAAACTTTGACTGAATCCTTTTAAAATAATGACCGTGTGCATCTGCAGGAAGCTTTAGATTGATGCAGTTTTAGAACAGAATACACCTGAAGAAATTGAATGTGTGATATCAAGAGACACAGACTTCAAAGAAAACAGCAGAAACAACGTTAAAAAAACCCAACCAGCAACACTACTCCTTGCTCAGTTTCAGTGAGCAATTTTTATTTTTATGGGAAACAATATATTGAAAATTTTGAGTGAGTGCTTTTTCTACAGCACAAAAGAACTGCATGCTGACTTAAGCCTAAGTAGTGCCTAGAAGCCTGTTCGGGAAGTGAATTAGAAACCTGGCGTGGTATTAATAACCTCAAAGCAATTATTTTTACTCTCTTTAAAGAGAAAACAAATGCCTACTTTTCTTAATGGTTCTTTTTGATGTGAGAAGATGAGGGCAATTTAAAAAAAAACAACTACACTCAACACCTTGAAATTAAAAATTACTGGATGTGTGTTTAGATTAATACTAAAGTCAGATTTCAGGAGATATGCACGCTGTTCAACATAAAAGGAATCACAAAAGACAAGAATGGTGGCAACAACTCGGCCTAAACCAGTGTCTCAATTGGGAATAATTTTACCAACTAACCTTGGTGAATGTAAAATAAAGAGCATTATGTCAAGGATCATATAAATGAATGAATAAACAGGTGTTTTACCTGTTACCTGAAATGTGAATTGCTAAAAAGATTCTTTTTTTTAATGTATTGCCAGTAACACATAGCCTTTAGAAAAACCTTTAAGTCACTGTTTGATCTTGCTTCCTGGACTGTTCCTGCTTTTATTTCCACATAATCAGTTGAGTGTTTAACATCCTACTGGAATACTATTAAGCAATAAACACTTTTACCTTACTTGAATCAAACCAAAATGGTAATATTCTATATGTTAGGAATGAAGATAGTGAAGGTTCTTACTAGGAAATCTGGACTGTGTTTGTGTTCCCGTGTAATTGAGCCTCTGTTCATGCAGAGATCTCCATCAGCAGATGCAGTTCTTGATGTATGCCTTTCTTAGAAACTTAGTCAATAAGCTTAAGAAACCTAGGGAATATTTCTGGCCCCATAAGTAATTCTTAGTATTATATTATGAATTAATTATTGAATTAATTTTGAAACAGCTACCCTTCTTTTTACACTTGATTTTACTTGTGTTTATTTTCCACATGATCCACAGTTGAATCTACTTTGCACATGTAATAAATTATTTGCCATGTCATACCTGCACAATGTTTTTCTTTTTGCACCACTATAAGCCTGGTATAGATGCAAATCTTTTAAGTTTATCACAGAGAGACTGTAGCCTCTTGAAAGTGGACACCTTAAATTCTTGTTCTTTCCTTTTCATCTATGGGAAGTGCCATGATGCGACACATGTTTACCTAATGGTGGCGAACCCGAAAATGCCTATTTGGAATCTCTCAGAAAGTTGCAATCCTTAGTAGCAGTTTATTTTTCTAATTTCAAATAATAGAAACTGTAAACGTAAAAGACTTGAAAATCTAAAGCTAATTGCTCATACACGCGTGGTAATTAAGTGCATTTCTGTGATATAACAGGAATTTTTATTCAGTTTCAGAAAACATTAATACTCCCTGGGCATGAAGACTGGATAAGAGGTGTTGAATGGGCAGTTTATGGTCAGTATGAAAGATGAATAAAGTAGAATAGTGGTTTAACAACAGTATGGCTGTTTTACCCCTCCAACAGATAGTTTGGATGCACTGTAACACTCAAGTGCTTGTGACTGTGAATTTTTTTTAATAATATGTTAGTATAGATACTCAAAATAAGATAGAACTTTGTGACCTGTTAAGATGTAAGAATTGCTGAACGTGTACTACAGTTATATTTTAGTTAACAAAATTGTGGCTACAGTATGATTGATATCGTATGCTCGTATGTTTGCATACCTCATTTTCTCTGCTTGCTTCAAGTATGTTTACCTGACTTGTAGCTAAATGCAAACAAAGAGGAGTTTTAGCAACTTGTCCTTTTCAGTATGCAAATATCAACATCTGAATGACGAGGAGTTTGCTGCTTTTTCAAAGTGGGGGAACTAGGGGCAAATAATACTCTCCTTCTCTCCCTCTCTCTTTTTTTTTTTAAGGAGATTAAAAGGAGAATCTATTCAGATTAACTAATTAAATAATTCTTGCAATGGCAAAAAAATAAATTAGAAAGACTTAGGAGATGCTGCAGTCCTGAAAAAGGAAAAGAGTTATTGAAGAGTGTTGAGGCTGTCAGAATTTTGAGAGTTAAGGTGATAGGAAGTAAGGAAGTATATGTACAATATGTGCAGTATTTAACATGTCTTTCTTGTCTTATAAGCAGACGAATGTCCAGAGTCAGCGTGTTCTAAACTAGTGGAGAGTTAGAAATGGGAGAGTAAGTTGGTGTTGAAGTAAAGCAGCAGTTTATGACACTGTACTATAGGAAAAATTAGGATAATGCTGTACTACAGTTTTTGGAAAGGTGCTAGTTTAGTCATGGCAGTGATTGCAGTGAAAACATGGCTCTAATTATCTCTTTTTGAAAACAAACAGGTGAAGACCTTTTCTTAGCAAGCTGTGCTCAGGATTGTTTGATAAGAATTTGGAAAGTGTGTACAAAATCAAAGCAACTTCCAGAAACTGAAGATGATTCCATAAGACTGAAAGAGAACGTTTTTACTGTCAAGGGTAGGTAACAGCTGTAAAATTCTATTGCACAACTTTTCACTTGTGTATCTGTTTGTGGTTGCGGGGTGGCTGACAGGGTGGTTGCCATCTAATTTGTTTTGTTTCCTGTAGTAAAAGAATCTGAGACCAGTTTGACTGCATTATTTTTGTTCAGCTGTTAGAAAAAGTGTAGTTATTATTTTAAAGCCATGACTGTGTGAAGCTAATGGTGTATTACAAAGAATAGTAAAGCAGTGAGAGAACTTAATATACATGTGCATTGTGACTCCAAATGCAGTACTTAGTCAGGAGATATGTTTGTCTGTGGGAGGTAAGCTGTTGTGCAGTTCTTCTCCAGTTTAAAAACATACCTTGAATTTTCGTTCTAATTCAGTGCATTAAGAGGTGCTACTATTACTTAAACCTTAGAAAAATACTGAAGATAACAGATAAGTATATGCAGGCTTACATTTTGGTTATTTAACAAACTGTTTGAGCACTGTAACATCAGAGGCTTGCAATGTTGTTGTTGTGGGGTAAATTATTATGCAACTTAGGTAATATAATGAAGTTTGTATGATGTTATGTGTAAAAAGCTCATGCTACCTGCTGCAAATCCTAATTCATTGTTTGAAGTATCTTAATGCTTATACTTACAGGCATTTGGAGATGTAAATATGCTCAGGTTAAGAGTATGGGTAGAGCCAATGTCAGAGTTTATTCGAAAATTGCTTGAGAGTTCTCCAGAAATTCTGTGATACCGCTCTGAGGCAGTAGGCTGACCTCCTAGTGTCACACTGGTACTCTGGGCTTGCAGGAAAGTAGGATTTCAAGGAGCTATTCAATGTCAATAGGATATTGAGACAGTGGTAGATGAAAGCAGTTGATTTTTTTTTTTCCACTGAAGATATCAGAAATGACCTGTCTCTCTTGGCTTTTAGAAAGAAATGTGCTTTTCTCTGATTTGTGGTAGATACTGATACAACATACGCAGTTACTTTGGAGTCAGTGTTGGCTGGTCATGAAAACTGGGTGTATGCGGTTCACTGGCAACCTTCATTTTCCAAAGGTAAGAAGATACCAGACACTTAGCAGTTTTGTTCAGTGTTATATACACAGAGTACAGTCACATTTCTTTGTATTGTGTTTGTGTGTTCGGTTGTCACTGTGCACTACGAAAATGTTTAAATTCTGCAAATGATGTTTTATAAGTAAACGGATGTTTTGGGTGAACAAGCCACAGTAGCACATCTTACAGCACAGGCTCTGTCTGTCATTGTGTAATGCATGATGCTTTCTCTTACTCATGTTTTGTTTAATGAATAAAAATATCTGAGCTGTACTGGCTTTATTGTAGTTGATTGGCTGTTTTTGGAATAAAAAAATCAGTTTAATTAATCAGTATGAATTCATAGTGCTAATATCTTTACCTGGATAGATGTATTTGAAATATTTGTTCTTTAGAAGGTCAGCATTAACTCCAGAGCACTCCTTTCTTTTTCTTGGACTAGAAATGAACAAATAGCAACATTCAGAAGATTAATCTTCAGTTATCCGTGCATTAACATAACATGCCAGGGATTCCTTGAGGATCAGTTTTCTCTAGCTAGCATGTAGCTTTAAGGCATTAATGCAGACTGATTGAAAGAAATGTTATTTACAGTTTAATTTTGCATCTTGCCCTAGTCTTTATCTTTCTTTTTAAATCCTTAAATTCTGACAGCCTTGTTTGTGGTACTGGTTTGCTGGTACGTGTCTGCCTGGCGTGTAAGGGAGGGAGATTCTTGATTTGACATGCTTACGCCATCAGAATGCCCTTGTGTATTTGTATTGGCAAACATGCCTTTTTTTCCTGAGGTGTTTTAGAGTTACTGATGGCAGCTGACTTCACTAATACAGAGCACAGCTTTTTTCCACTGTATATACAACACTTGAACAGTAGAGTGCAATTAGAGTGTCAGAATACCTACACTGAAAGACAGAACTTGCTTTAGAAATATTGGCTTAGTTATCTGTTCTCTCACTTTTTTTTTTGTAATGCCTATAAAAGGTTTTGCCCATTAAAGCAAGGTTTAGGCAGAATGCTCATATAAGTCTTGCACTGCAATCTGAAAAGCTCCTGTTACAACCATGAAGTTTTCCAGGTGTCTCACATCCTGCTTCTGCACGTGTGCACCTGCTTGTGTTCTGTGGCCCACCTGATACTGGATTCCCCAAAATAGATTTTCCTCTGCAGTAGAGACAGATTGATCCAAGAGACATGTTCCATGCAGAAGGTAGAAGGTTTGATGTGACATAAGATGCTGCCTTCAAGAGATGCCCAACCATGTCTCTGTTCTCAAGAAAGATTCCCCAGCAGCTGGGTGGTGAACCAGTTCCCTCTTCCCCATTCTGGCTGTGTTGGGCAGTTGTCTGGAGTGTTTCACTGTATTCTGGGGAACAGTACTTACTGCTGTATGCATCACAAGATGCTAGAGTCTATGGAAGTATGTAGTGAATCTAACCGTTTGTAAAGAATACAGTGAATATTGGCATAGAGGTGATTTTGTTTTAAATTGAAAATCTCTCTGTAAAAACTAATTTGAGGAATAGAACTGAGAACTGCTATGCAGTCTATCTATCTTTTCCTTCAAATTACAGTTTCACTATCAATTAGAAGTGACTAAAAAGTAGAATATGGTTATTCTCATGTACATGTTTTACATTTCCTTTGAGAGATTATGGCTGAAAAATACAATACCTCCTAATGAACACCTAGAAAGCCTGTTAAATCTGGCATTTAAGTACTGCTTTGCACATCTCTGATGCTGGGCAATTTTCTTAGCGTGTCTGGATTTCAGTATGACCAAATTCTTTTGGAAAGTATTCTGATAGGTCGTAGGGTAATTGTTGTCCTTGTACTGTAGATGGCAGCATGCAACAGCCAATGAGGATATTGTCTGCATCGATGGACAAAACCGTGATCATCTGGGAGCCTGATAAGGAATCTGAAGTCTGGCTGGAACAGGCAAGTGTCAGTCTTTCTCCCAGTACATGCTGGATTCAAGTTGCATCTCCAGCATCATGTGTGTACTGGAGGGAACAAAAACTTTGTAAAGTGCTGGGAGAGGAAGGCAAAAGCATTTTCTTGCACAAATACTCATTCTGATGCTGTGTTGCAAGTAAAACTGTATTTTTCAAAAATTATGTGATCCAGTATGATTCTTACTGCTTTTTTGCTTGCTTATCACCATACTGGGGAGTTTCTAAGGGGAGTTTGTGCTCACCTGGCATTCATAGTATAGTATGCCAAGTGCTGCATAGTAACGCACTGTGTACTCTGGGTAAGAGGAGCAAAAACCGCCCTCAATTATTTGTAGTTAATCCCTGTGGGAATGTGCACTGAAGCAGTTACTACAGAGCAGCTGACACACAATTCCCCAAGCCTGGTTTTACTCACAGTAACTTGTTCATAGGCTCTGTCATTAGGTTTTACTTCCATATGAGCTGGATACTCATGTTTCACTATAATATTCTGAACGCTGTTCTAATGGGGATCATCCTAAATAAGCAAGTAGTACAAGCAGATTTATCTAGTGCTTTGCTAGCTGTCTTTGTTTTCAGTTGACCTGCTTTTCCAAATTGCAACAGTTCAGCCGGAATTGTCTGTGTGGGGTTATGCCAGCCATTGTTTATGGTCTTTCCTCTAATCCTTCTAATCCTCTCCTGGGAGGAAAGAGAGAATTACAGTAGGTGGATTTAATTTTTCCGCTGTTCCATTGGAAAGATCTTGTGCCTTTCCACTTGAACTAGAAAATAGCTCATAATAGGTTGATCACACAGAGATGCCACTTGTTGGTAACACTTAGTTGTGGCTAAATTTACAAGCGTCTAAAAATGGGTTCTGCAGTAAGGCTTGTTGCAAGTTGTTGCTCTTTCTTTGTACGTTCCATTTGCACTGGTTAGATGTCAAATGTGAAGCTTGCAGTTTGGATCAGACCTTTTAACTGCAATGATTTTTTTTGCATTGAGGGAGGGAAACCTGAACTGGAAGCCTGCAGGGAAGGGTGCAAGGGGAGCATCCCATTTTCTCTCTTCCATTTTGGTATGATGAAGAAGAAGTTGTCACAAAATTATTCTCCTGCTCAGAGGTGAGACTAGAATTCTGCCTCTAGCATGGCATATCAAAGTCACTTCAATATGAGTGATGTTTTTTAATGGATGCTAATAGAATGGACATACTGGTCCATGCTGCCACTTAGAATGAGGTATAGATTCATTTCATTGTGATCTTAAAAGCAGCTGTGTAATAGTGGAGTTGTTTAGAGTTCAGCTTGAAAGAAATTGTGTTCTTGTCTATTGAAAAACACTTGAAAATTTAACTAATAATCTTTTAATGTAATTAAAAACTTGGAATAGCACTAAAGCAACTATAAGGCATGTGTATATGCATGCATACATACATGCACAGTCACAAAGGAGGCACAAAACAGAGGCCAAAATATGCCACAGAAGGAATATGGAGAAAGAGGGAAGTGGACATATGGTAGTGAATCTTGGAAAAGAAAAAAAGGAAGTGTAATTGGAAACCACTGTTCCTTTGGACCCTTTTTCCATTTTGTGCAGCATAGCAATAGGAAAGCAATGGAGGACTAGAAACTTGTATGCAGCAACATAGAAAGATTGGGTTGTCATCTCTCCTAGTGTAGTGTTTTCTCTCCCCTGGGTGTTTGAACAAGATCCTATCTTGACATGTTTATGAAGGGAGGCTCTGTAAAATCAACATGCAGCTTTAATTCCTATTATATTTTAGTGCTTGACTTTGCAGTTTCAGTATTCTTTAAATATGGTTTTGTGTGTAATGTGAACTGTTGCCTATAGTGAAATTTTAATCTCATAAGGTTAGGATGAGTTTATATGAATGGAAGGCCATTTTCATGGATATTTCACTTCTAATCATTAATTCAGGTTCGGGTAGGTGAAGTAGGTGGCAATACCCTTGGATTTTTTGACTGCCAGTTTAGTCCAGATGGTTCGATGATGGTTGCCCATGCTTTTCATGGAGCACTGCACCTTTGGAAACAGGCTACAGTTAGTAAGGTATGTTGTTTTATTATTACTATTATTACTTAAAAGAATTACACTTGTATGCCACTTGAGGAAAGTTCTATTGTTAGTAGAAAAATGTAACCATACAATTTAAAACTAATGTTTGAAATAGCCGTTCTCTGAATACAACATTCTGTAGGACTGTTGCTTCTGCACAGAAGGGAGGCTGCGGTCTCCCAGGCTCTAAAACCTGTTGCTTTCCTGTGGAAACCATAAAGTCAGACTGAACTTCTTTGTGGTTACGCTTTGGTCAAAAGTGGCAGCTGAACCAATAACACAGGATTTGTGGGTTTTTTTAGATTGGAGCAATAAATCAGTACTTGTCTCCTTGGCCAGTAGCAGGGTGGGGTTGTTTTGTTTTGTTTTGAGTTTTTTTTTTCTTAATAGTTATGTTGATACTTTTACTTTGGTTGGAATAAGCCATTCGGTCAGTTGAAAACTTCTTGCTGCTTTGGTGACTTTCTTGATAGAAACAATGGACTCCAGAAGTTGTGATTTCAGGACATTTTAACAGTGTGGAAGATGTAAAGTGGGACCCCGAAGGAGAGTTTATCATCAGTGTAGGTTCTGATCAAACTACTCGACTCTTTGCTCCATGGAGAAGAAAACAAGAGACAGAGGTATGATCTTCAAATATTTTGTGAACTTGGTGAAGAGGGCTGGTCTGTCCTGAGTTGGGAACCAGTCACCTGAATATAACTCAAACCTTAAATTTCCCAAACCATGGGAGAACAATTTCAAAACTGCTTGTGTAAATGCTTGATTCAGTATGTGCTGTTTTCACTTTAGAAATACTAGTGGCAGAGTTTTAGTAATCACATAGCTTGACTGCTGTTTAATCCTGAGTTCGCCTCTGGGTTACCTTGAGTAAGTGTTCTTCCAGATCCTTGAAAACCAGGCTGTGCAGTAATTCAGAAGGAGGAATACATGGCTGATAACCATCTGTTGTCCTTGGTTAACACTTGGCTAAGCACTGCTGCAGGAAATCATAAAGAAAGTCAGTTTTGGTTGCGTTTTTTTACACAAGCTTAGTCTAAGCAAAGTTCTCACTGCATTTTTACACTATTTTGTTTATGACTGTGACTTTTACTGGAATGATTATCTGAACTGCATGAGTGCAGCTGGTACCTATGCAAGCAACTTTTCAGAAGAATTACTCCTGAATAATTTTGTGTATTCAAAAATAAGTCTAAATTGTGGTGTGGGAAACCCTGTCTAGGAATATGAATGTTTCTGTTTCTAGTTGCTCATGCATTGTCCTTATCTAAATACAGCTTTTTTCTGACAACAGTACTAATGGGCCATTCAGTAAACTGGCAGAAACCTGGCTGATTGAAGTCATGTAAGGCCCTGTGTAAGCTCTACTACTAGTTGTGGGAGGCAAAGGGAGGCTGTGACAACTGTTTCATCGAGACTTCTATAGTGTGGACCAGCACAGGATTTCCGAAGTGTTTGAGAGGGTGAATTTGGCATCAGTTCCTTGATTTCCTTCCTCTAGGCCACACAGAAGTGGTGGCAATCCCAGCTCAAGTGCTAAGCTTTGCCTTGTGTTCTTGTGTTGTAGGAAGGGCATCTCCAGTTGCCTTTCCTGCTTCTTCCCCTAATCTCCAATCTGGAGGGTACAGCAGCAATGTGGAAAAGAGTGTGTTGGATTTGACATATGATGTAAGAGTTGTCAATACCATGTTCTCTGTGACCTACTAAAGTACCACTCTTCAGTGTGTATGCTGCTTGCTACATTTTTACCTTATTTTCTGAAAGAACTGAGCTTTGTATTATTTGCCTGTACAGCTGTTCCTGCTGTCCCTGAAACTTTTGTATTAATTGATTTAGCAGAGTGGTTGCAGTCTTTGTATCTAAGTCTGGCATGAACTGAAATTCACTGAAACCGAAATTTTTGCACTTCCTCTTGCTGTTCTGACAAGAGCAGCCGCTTGGTTAGTTTGACCAGGTGCAAATCCAAGTAGTGTCAACACTTGGTGCTGCATGGGGTGTGGGAGGGAGAAAGCTTTAGCATCCTGTTGGTGGGGTGAGGTGGAGGGTTGAAATAAAAATGAGTCATTTTAAGGCCCTTGTTCAGGACCTTTGAACACTGAAAACCAGGTGGGTAGTCCTGCTACTCATAGATAACATAGATAGCCTAGATAACATAGGCTTTTAAAATGCCTTACTTTCTTTACCATATTGAGTTTAGCAGCTGAAGAAATTACCACAGGTAACATCTGATGTTAGTCTTAACAAGATGAAATGGATGGTTCAGATATCTGTGGAAAGTTAATATTGCAGCTCGACATTCACATTTTTCTCTGTAAAAAGAGAACTAAGTGCTAAATGCACATAATTACACCTTCTTAAAAATATCAATTCTGATACTGTACCAGGTTCAAATATCAGAAATAAGGGATAACAGTCAGCTTCAATTTGCCATGCAAACTTGCACCCTGATTTTTCTGGAAGAAGCTTAGTGCATGACTTATGCAGCCCTCTTTGTCTCTTTTGGTTTGGGTTTTTTCTTTGTTTGTTTTGTTTTCTGTTCCTGTTATGTGCTGTGCTCTAAAATATGCAAAGAGGCACCTCATAAAGGATAAGAAGAGCTTATTGCACTGCTTGCTTGTTTGTTTTCTAGTTTGTTTTCTTTTTTTTTTCTTTAAACAATAAAGCTCTTGTGGAAATAGGAGATTTTGTAGGATCTCTGAAATATCCCATTTGGGTTTTATCTGAAGCTTCAACATTCAAAACTCAATTGAAATTTTAGTGTGGTATAAGCAGTTTACAGTCAATGTAATGTCTTTCCTTATGTTTGTGCAATATCTCGTACAATGTAAATTTTGTCTTGGCTGCAGTTTCCCAGGCATTGTAATACTGAAGTAGACTAAATTAATTCTAATTGATTAAATTAATTCTAATTCTGCTAGCTGTTAACTCAAAAGTACACACTATTTTTCTAACTGAGGTATCATTTAGGTGTAGTAGCAAATGACACTATACTAAAATCTTTATGTGCTAGAAAACAAAGGTGGTTTTTTTCTTAAGAATCCATTTTTTTCATGTATAGAATAAATTAGATTTTTATAAAAGCAATTTACATGTAATATCTTTTTTTGCTAACATTCTTTGCTTAGTGTGACTGTAAAACTAACTTTTGAAAATAGTAGCATATAGTCCTCCTTTAGCTTAAGCAAATTATATCCTATTCATGACTGCCTAACATAAAGAAGTCACAGTAAGTGCAGCGTTCTCTGAGTAACAAAGGTAAGCAAATGCTTAAAACATATCTCTGCAGGACACAGTTTGCTACTTACAGGAATCGTTTGGTGGAAAAGTAGGATTTAACTGATGTATGTGAGCATACGTCAGTTTTATGAATGTCAGTAGAAGGTTGCTATTAACTTCCCTTTATGCTAATAAAGTCAGCAATTAAAGTATTAGTACTTTTTTGGAAATCAAAACCTTGCTCCTTCTCTGGATGAGAGCTGTGGCTTAATAACTGCATGTCTGTTCATTTAGGTAACGTGGCATGAAATTGCAAGGCCTCAGGTGCATGGATACGACATGCGTTGTTTGGCGATGATCGGCCGGTTCCAGTTTGTGTCAGGAGCAGATGAAAAAGTGCTTCGGGTTTTTCGTGCTCCCAAGAATTTTATAGAAAATTTCAGTAATATCACTGGTATTCCAATGGAGAAGCTATGCTCCCACGTAAGTGTGCTAAAGCAATGCTAAATGAAGACGACCCTCTTTCATGTAAATAAAAGTAATGCTTTAGAAAACATCAGATTGCAATGAAAGCCATACAAATTCTTTTAATAGTTCTGAAACCTTAGTCTTGTTTTTCCTTTCCATTCTGTTTGTTTCCATGAGTGTTGTTTCATAGGTATTTTTATGATGTCTGATAAAGCAGGTTGTATTTGAAGCTAAACAAGATCTAGTGTCTCAAGATTGCAAAGAGTATGGGTAAATTTTAAATAAGTCAGACCAAGTAGACTACTGCATGCACTTGGTGATTTGAAAGCAAACAATAAAACCTGGAAGTGTGCTTCTCCTTAATTTAAGGGTATCGTATTCTTGTCTAGATTAATTAGTGTTGTGTGGTTCTGTGTTATTGTTGTTTTCTTTTTTAATTGTATGCTTGGAAATAGTGCAAAACTTTCAGCACTGTTGTTAGTTGTTACATATAAATATTTATAAATATGTACTTGCACATGCTTTATTTCTTCTTGGCACTGGGAATTTTCTTGAGGCCTTTACCTTCCCGTTCTCAGTTGTCAATAAGTACAGTGCCTTACTCTGTGGAAAGATAAGACTGCAGAGTTGCCGTCCTTTGTTTGCTCCCCATTTGCTTTAAGATTAATTCTGTTTTTCTTCTCCATTCTGTAGAGCGGAGCTCATTCAGGATAGTTGCCGCTGTACAATGCCTTGCGTGCTCTTTGCATTCCTGGCTCAAAAGCAGCGTTTTCTGCGCAGCTCCTCAGAGATGGATTAGCCTTTCCATTTCATTTAACAATTGAAATCTCTGGGAAATAAATATTTTCATTTTTTTGATAGCAAGAAGTTACATAAGTAGTTGTTTAGCACTTCAATTTCATAAGGCTTTGTAAGCGTTTGCATTAATGACTTTGTACAAACAGCACTGTGCTTTTGTAATGCTGGCAAATATTATTTTACTTCTATGTAGGCTTTCCATATCAGCTTTTCCTCTGAGTGCTGTTTTTTGATTTGTGATATCACAAAGTGTTTCACATGGGCTTTGTTTAAAGAGGAAGGTTTTATGAGCTCTTTTGATACAGCTACCCTTAAATAGCTTTATTGAAATTATTTTCTGTGAATGCTCTTTTTTCATTAAAGTGGGTAAGCTGTTTCTTAATTTAGCTCAAATGCCTTCCCCCAAAAAAGTACTTAAAACCAAAAAAACAGCTTTATATTCAGAAAGGGTTGAACAGGATTATATTCAGTTCAAATCCATGCAATTGTATTATACTTTGGGTTGTAACGAAGAACCGTTTTTGTTTTAGAGGCCTTAGACTGGTGTGTGCATCTCGTAAGTTTTTCTCCTCAAATTATGAACATTTAAATAAGTAACACAGTATTTTAAGCTATCACATAAGTTATTAATCCGGTTCTGTAAAACAGTATTTCTTTGAACTTCTCAGACACTGTATGGAAGGGGTTTACAGCTACTAAATATGTTCTTTTTCCATCTCTGTACAAAGCACCCCAAGTTCACTTACCCTTCCTAAAATTTGGCTTTTTTTCCCCCCATACCTTTATGAAAGTATTTTCTGTCTTTCGTCTGTGCTGCTTTAAACAGTCACGTAGTCCAGCCACATGTCTGTGCTGTCTGTTGGGTTGTGTTTTAAGTTGTGGGTACAGGTGCTCACCCTCTATCCCCTTTTCCAAAATGCTGCTTTATTATTTCACCTCAGAAGAGACTATTGCCCAGTCCTATTGTGTTAAAAACTGCAGTGCTCTCAGATGATTAATTATCATGTATATCCTAGAGTAAATAAAACTGTGGAAGAAAACCTGTAATTAGGGCTGAAGGTGCATGCTTTGCAGCCAAAGCCTTGAGCTGAGGCCTTATAAAAGTTTTGGGTTTTGATTTGTTGGTTTTTTTTTTTCTGGGAGAGTACTGGTCTTCATTTTGTCCAGGGTATGTTCTGAATGAGTTTGGAGTTTTTCAAAGTGTTCCCCTTCACTTCTCTCGAAAAGTCACTCTTTTTATCACAGGGATTACACTTAAACTGTGGCCTTTAAAATGTCAGCCTATGTGGCAATCTGTGTATAAACTTTTTTTTTTCTTTTAAAATCCAGCAATCATCTGATCTTCCAGAAGGTGCAACTGTGCCAGCTTTGGGGTTATCCAATAAAGCTGTTTTTGAAGGTACGGCTAATGAGAAGTAATGGGGATGGTGTTTCATATGGAAACTTTTTTTAAACATCTACCCAGAGTGATAAGAATAACTGATTAGTGTCTTGAGACTGGGAATGAAGCTGGTCATCTGATGTTTATTGAAGTCTATAGTAAAATTGTAGTTACACAGGAATCTACAAATTAGGTCAGACCTGGTTTTTTTCCCTTTGGTTAAAGCTTTATCAGAAGGTGTGAATTAAAAAAGGAAACATTTTAATAAGCTTTATCTCCAGGTTCTTCAATGGCGATACAGCTCAATTGTTCCAAGTCTTCCAAGTACTTGAAGTAACTCGTAAAATAGATTTTGGCAAAAACATTTTTCTGCTTTCTCATGAGCCCTTCCACTGAGAAAGGTTGGGGGGAAACTTCCTTAGGATATCTAGATTCTAATATTCATATTTTTGTAACTCTGGAAGCAGAGAAACCTAATTTCAACTAATACTGTAAAAACAACAGATGTTTTTCACTTGTGTAATAAGTGCTCATATTTTCCCTCATGTCAAGTATGTTCTCTCCAGCTAATGAAGTCCTTCCTTTGAATAGGAGATATGGCTGTCCAACCAGCTGAGGATGAAGAAACCTTCAATACTATTTCGAATCAGTATCCCGAAATTTATTTTCAACCCTTGATCCTTACAGGTATGAGATTAATTTCAGTTGTAGGAAATAGAGAATAGTGTTCATTGGATATAAGCTTGAAGCAGTATGTAGCTGAATTGTAGATTATTTAGTGCCAAATTTGAATATATTGTACAAATGTGTTTTAGAACCTCCCCCAGAGGATCATTTGCTGCAGAATACCTTGTGGCCTGAAATTCAGAAGCTGTAAGTTTTATTTTTCCTTAATTTATACAAATTTTCAGAAAGGTATTTCAATATATTACCATAGTCTGGTCTTATTTTAGTACCTGATTTGAATTTCTGTGCAGTGTATTATACCAGTGAAATAAATAAATTTTATATATATATAAAA